ATCTCTCTCAACAACAACAACGGAGGAGGAGGAAAAGAGAGAGATACACACAGACTGTGAGTGTGTATCTCTCTCAACAACAACAACGGAGGAGGAGGAAAAGAGAGAGATACACACAGACTGTGAGTAAGTCCCGATTTGGATTTAAGAACCATTTGCTCTACAACCCTGCAATATTGGGGCATCAAAGTGACACAAGCAACATCCAGATTCACGCAATATAATGGGAACTTTTGTTGAATAAGGATTCACCTAATCCATTTCCCAAACTAGGAAATAGCTGAAATATATTGCTTGCATTTCCATCCACATACTTGTATGACTGTGGATTTGGCAGAGTGGTTTTCCTGATAGAAACTAGATACATATTGCACATCACAGCAAGAAACCTTCGACTCTAGCTGTCAATTCTTTATTCCGACATAATTAAGCTTGCTCAAAGACCACGGACTCATGGCTCGGAATTATAGTTAGATGAAAGCATTGTTAACAAGTTATTAGACATTCTAATTCATTCTATGATTTCCAAGTAAGTGGTTACCATAGTTATATACCGTGTTAAATATTAATATGGAATTTTGTCTACTTATAGACGTGTGATTGGCTGTTGCTTCAAAAAGTATGTCAACGTTAGTTTATAAACTTTCAAAATGTGGTTTACAAGGAAAGGAGAATAGATATCAGCATTAAAAATTTAACCGTCACAAAAGATAATACTATGATCACTGGAAATCACAGCTTTGATTACTAAATTGTGGTGATCAAGTTGGCGAGACAATGAGAAACGGAAAGGTAAAAGGTAAAAAGTGCTAAAAGGTAAAATGGTCAAAAGCTAAAAGTTTGGATAAAGGTTAAAAAAGTCTGATTGCAACAGCTGAGGAATCGTCACACATTTAATATTTTCTCACTCATATGCGAATGGTGAGTTTACAGTCACCGTTAATTATAATTCAACCAGCGAACCTGTTGGATTTGCTAGGTATTTTTGTAGTGGACTTCAGTGCCCTCAACCCGTTGTTCCTTAGACCATTTTCACAACTTGAATACGGTAAAAGAGTGTGACACGGAACGCGCATAGTTGAGTTCACCGAAGCGGTTGTTGTCAGCGTTTGCGTTTGTTTTCTTGGTTTGTTTACCAATAACGAATTAACCTTTTTATGCGTCGGGTTACGAATTTCGTTAATCACGTGTGCAAACGGACTGGGTACAGGTAGGTGGAAAGGGAACTGTGTAAATTACCGACACGTGCAATAAAACAAGTTTCATACAAGCGAGTAGATAATCAGAGAAAGTTTTGGTAAAGATGGAGTAGAATAGAAGCAGAAAAGCGAGATGGATGACAGAAGAGTGCAAATGGGTTTAAGTATAAATTTGAATCAATATATACCTATGAAAGTTTTGAAATGTAGTGGAAGGGGCAACAATGAATTTGGCAAAGGACGGTGCGTTTACAAGTTCTCATTTCGTCGGTTTTAACCCACTTATTTTGCCCATGTTGTAAGGATTGCTCCGCAATCCAAAGAATTCCGCTGTACTCTAGAGCATGGCTTGTTAAAAAACCTATTTTTGAATTATCAAGCTGGGTAACTTCATAAGAGCATATGGATAAGAGGACAGATAACAGTTTGCATATTTGTGAATTAACCGCCCGATAATATATCGGCAGGTTTACTCGCCCAAATGCAGCTGCGCAGCTCTTGACTTGTGGGCTCTGGAATTGTCCGTTTCCCCCTCGTTAACACTTTACGAAAAGTGAACGAGTGTTTGCACCGTGTTACGCGCACTTATCTCTCAGTGCCATTCAAATTGAAGTTAGTACTACAGAGGTAGGAGCAGCAACCTCATAGTATTAAATTATCACGGATCCCGCCGAAACCGGCTTAACCCTAAAATATTCCTCTAACTCGAACAAGCTAGATGGAAGCTTTGGATGTCAAAGTGTGAGTCGACGTCAGTTGACTGGACGTTTCAGAAAAGTTTGATTGCATGGAACACAGGATTCTCCCCCACAGGCTTCGAAGCTATGCAATCGATTACTCTGTCCTACTTGGATAAGTAACTATCTCGTTCAACATTAGCTGAGTGTGATAGTTCTTAGCGCCATTTCGGACCCGATTAAAATTCGTGGTGCAACCAGAAGACGGGTACCGGGACCACAGTGTCGTTGGCTTCAGTCGATCGGCATCGGATGCACTGTCTGATGACGCCATCATCCCCGAGGATGAGATCAGCGCTTGCACAATCCCAGTCTTCAATGCAGAAGAATTCGTTGCCATCGACAACGATAATAAAGTACCTCAGATATGACAACAGTTAAAGTTGAGATCGTCAGTGCTGTTTTAGAGAACCGGCTCGAAAAGTAAAGGGCCGCGAATCAGGGGATAACGTGCCGGATGCCTCCGTGGGTAAGCGAAATCAGTGCGTATCTCATTCAAGAGCTGTGCAACGATTTCTTGTCCAAAGTGGACTTCACCAGTGCAAAAGTGACTGGAGTAGCAGCTCAAAATAAAGTACAACAGAATTCATATTAGTTTCTCAGCAAAAATGTAAAAAAGCGTTAGTTTCTATAGATATCCAAGCAACATATTTTATATTATATTTTTTAAGTTATAGGTCATTCATTTCTGCTTTTGTAGGCTTTAGTTAAAAGTACGTATGTTGTCCTTCTTAATACGTTACAATTCAAGTGATATACTGTCCAATAAATCAATGGTTGTTTCCATTTTGTAAAAACTGACAATATCGTTTAAATGCCAACCCCGCTTTATTGACCAAATTTGAAATGTTCCGGCGGTGGACAATGAAGCGGGTTCAACTGTATTGCCAATTGCGTCCAACTTAGGCGTTATCGCTAAATTAAATTCGATTGGTGCTTATGAGTCCACTTACTTCTTTCATTCGAATGAATCGATAAGAATATTTCGTAACAAATACAATCATTCACGCTGCGACTGCATAGATCCTAGCAGAATTCTAAACATTCGTCACCAACAACCGAACTTCGTGCATGGCTCTAAATGGTAACGGAAAAAGCCCATGAAATATTATGTCAGCGCTAGTGTTATCTGGTAGAATACCATTCAGTAAACATTAAACCCTGTAACATATTTTCAACGTAGCCATTCCCTTCTCGGATGTGTATTTTACAGACCTGAACTGCACCCTTGCGTATAAGTAACGAGCTGCGTTCCGTCCAACGTAAATAAAACTTGCTTCACTCCGTTTCAAACATCCTTAACTGGGATTGTGCACAACCTTGACTACCTGAAAGTACGGAAAATCCGGTGTAATTCTCAATTTTTCTACCATTAACTGTTCAGGGTTGCAAAGTATGTTCTGAACTACATGTGTTGCATTTATTTGTAATAGAGAAGCCAATCGGAGTATTGTGAGCGCATGAGAATTCATAGGCTGCATTGGGTAAGCCGGTATGTCGTGTGATTAATGTTGTCTTTATAGTAGTTGATGAAGGGCATAACATCACAAAGTAGGGGTAATTCGTATCCTTTTGCACACCACGTATATTTGACCAACCTGAATGTTTTTCCAGAGATAGCACCAGAAAATGTTGTTGTGATCAAATGTCCTTCGCCAAAATCTATCTTAATTGCATTAAATGCATCTGATAAAATGTGGCTAGGTAACAGCATATGCTGTTGGCAAAAGATAGCCTGACGCATTACCGATGTTTGCGAAGATTCAGGTCAATATGCACATAGAACTAACCTTGTCCTTCAGCGCATGGAGGGCATTCTTCAAGGGGCTTCTTTTTATTTTTGGTTCGGGGATCTTCAGCTTACCGGTCGCCATCTAGATGTATAGATACGAAACAGGAACTGGAAAACCCGCTTTGGATGAATAACACTGAGAAAACAGTAAGCAGAATTATAGATTCATCCAAAAATGTTATTATCATTTAATCAGTTAGTAACCTGTTAACAGTCACTGATCTATATATTCATTGAACGTGCAACACCAGCACAGTGCTTATTCAGCAATAAAACCGCACAGATCGTGTCAACGCAAACTCTGTTTGCCGTACTTCTCATTGAATTCAGTCGTTGCCTACTCCGCGGCACTCCTAGTGAAATTGGAGTCACGCTACTAACAGTTTACCTTTTTTGAAAGTTGGTCCGTAACCTCCATTGAGATGAAAGCTAACGTAGCCTTGACTTTAAAAGCCAAAGGCAAAACATGGGGTGGTAATTCTTATTAACAATGAACTAATAATTTCAGAACTATTCTTGAGAAAAATTATTTCAATCCGAGCAACGATATAATTTTCTCTGGCAATAGAAGACTTGTGATGTGCAATTTGAGGAAATTCAGCTTGTCGTTGCCAGCATTGAAGCTACACTGTGGAGTCTTTTAAGTAATCGGAACACAAGCGGAGGAAAATTCTAAGTAATATCGTATTCACAAATCATTACAGATTTTGCAACCGATACACGATCAACCTATCTGTCGCTAAGGAGTTTAGGACAGCTGATGTCTTAGTGAAGAGGAATTAAAGCTCTCATTTCAAACTTGACTTGGTAGAAGTTTCCCGACTGCCCGTTTAGGGACCGGTAGAAGATAAACACATTTGGTTGGGTACACATACTGATATCGCAGGTGGCCTATTCCAATGGTGCTTGCGTTGTGCTTTTCTTGGTTTCTAAACCGTCTCCTTATTATCCTCCCTCCAACCACATTCCCTGCTTTAAGGTATTAGATGTTGCTAAGCATATCTCTCTATTCCTTATATAGATATGTTGCATTATTCCAGCGGTTACTTTTAAAGTCTATACCTCAGAGGAATAACTAAGCGCTGCTTATGTGGAAACAGGTTACGTGAGCCTTTTTTACCTCTAAACAATGGTTGATCATGTGTACACCTTGTATGAAAATCAGTGGGTCATTACGAAATCGAAAAGAACCAAAAGTCGTCTCCAGCTATTCCAAAGCACTATACCTAGATAAAGGTTGATTCATTGCACATTGTGTGATTACTGCAGGCGATCTCCGGGCCAAGGCACAAGAATCAACGGCTGGATTGGAGTCCTTGAGGAGACAATGCTGTGTATTATAGCTTATTTTGGTACGGTAGCATCCTACTAGGCACGCATGAGTAACTGCAAATAGCATAAGTGTGGCTGTAAAGTAGGCATTCGTTTGAAACCCTCATAGAAGTCGACCTCACGCATGATCACATGACATGAATTATTATGTGCAACCTGTCGCACCATCAATGGGTTCTACTTCCTGACAAATTTCGATTAGACGAGGCTGTCGTTGGGTGCACTCTTGTCGCTTGAGGGTAGTGCTGTATAGTTTTAAACAATTACACCGACTACATTAATATCCACGTTTTGCCAACATCATACGGTGACAATTACCTTACCAACATCCAAGGTTAAACAAATGACATAAAACCAGTTGCAAAACAGGTTTCAATCAGGCTGATCGTGATATATAATATCAGATAGATAGCCTGGGTTCATAATAAATCTTAACAAGGAAATCTTAACAAGGGAAGTTCTGTAAATGTGTCATTGGTGCAAGACGAGTTTCATTGTGGTAAAGTGTGATTTAAGTTAACCCCAGCACGGAAGACGGAGAGGGCAGAGACTTACCTCGTTCACTTGATGGATTTCATTTGCAGAAAGCAAATAAATTGTCAGTAAACGTACACAAACCCTCACGCTAACTCACTGCTATGCGTTGGTCTATCGAAATTATATTTGGGTGCTTGCTGTGAAGTCATCCTTTCGTTCTATCACTACGGACACCTTGCTATAACTGGACGTGAACAGTGGGCGCAGCTTAGCTTGTTCGCATTTTGAAGGGAGCTTGCATTCGTTAAATTTAATTGCTCAAGTCTCCTAGATGCTAGAGGTTATCCTGATTTTCTGTACACAGTTAGTAAGGACTATGAAAATAGATATTCAGCATTATTCGTTAACAGTAGTTCCTTAAATTTTGCTGAGAGCTTATGCCTAATCATTCTCCTTGCAAAATAATAGTTTTCAATGCAGCTACTTGCAGTGACTACCGTATTCTTCAAAATGAGTAAAAATGTTTAGCTACATAGCACAATCGATGATCAAGCGACTTGCCATGTTACAGTAGAAAATAAAAGTTGAAATTGTAAACCGCACTGTATGAAACCCTACCAGAACTCTTGTTTATGCTTAATTATTCCGTCTATAACGATTTGCCATGCTTAAGTAAGCTAGTGTCTTCCCTCGTCAGAACCACAGAATGCGCATCGTTAGCGCTAACAAGGGAACACACAGTGACTGAGTCAAAAGTGGCACTAAGAGGAAAGTGGGAAATTGGAAAGCCTTGATGAGCGTCAGCTGTTTTTGCTTAGACCATGATGCGATATGAGATGGTGGGTTAGACGATACATAAAGCACCGACAGATTTCCTAGGAGAACCATACAGATTGTCGTGAGTAAAGGGCGTTCAGCTGAAATAACCACACATTTTGTAGTCCAGAGGTAGAGTAATAGTTTTGGTGCAGGAAGTGTGACGTTGTTGTAGGATCCGTCAATCAGTAAACACAGGATATTTGCCGCAATTTCTGCAAGAATCCAGCCTGTTCGCATAGTAAGGCGGTGGAGGATATTGGGGGCTAATGACTTTTATTACCACATATATCGAGCAAATAGCACAACAGCTGTACTTTTCTACAAAATGATAAAACTGTTGTTGAGCATAGTAAGTAACACAGAGGTGCAACCAATAGGTTTGGTTGAGTTCGGCCCAGCCGCATGATTAGGGTTGGTTAATGGAAGCCCATTTAAAGAACCAGGCTAGGTAATAGTATATTAGTTCACTGGAAGTACGCCAGTTGAGATCTCAGAATTGCTGCTCCTAACCAGCCAGTAGGGTGTCATAACACGAATGAGACTAGTTAAAATATTCTTGAATTTTCGCACCAATGAACGTATTCGTGGGATTAGTGGTGTCAGTTATTCCCTTGTAACTGAGGTGCGTTCCTCAACCTCCACTAACGTCTTTTGATGATTATGATTCTCAAGTGGCTATTCACCGATTTGTATGCAGTTTAATTGCTGTAAGTTTATAATGGATGTCAAAATTTTGGTTGCCAATTGCGGACTACTTTATGCAGACACAAAGGTCGAGCATATTATCCATGAATGATAAACATAAACCCAATCTTACCTGTGCTTAATCGGTAAATCTATGCTACCACCTAGAAGTGTCAGCCGAAATGTTTGATGTAAATTTTATGGTGTGGTCAAAAGAAAACATTATTTAGCCAAACTGGATTGCTTATACTAGCATATCATATACAAATTCCAAAAATGTTCACTGGTTTTCTTGCAGCAGTTTCCTCATATTACTTTCGAACATCAGTACTACGAATCGCTGTATTTTTTATTACGCAGCACTAGCATATCCTTGGCTCACCAAAGCAAAACGTACAGAAAAGTCTATTTATAACAGCCGGTTCTTTGTAAACTGCTACGCATGCAGCCACACGTCATCCAGTATCTGCTTTTTCATAAATTTCCTGATTTGAATTAAGGAATAACAGTACCAAGAATTTATGTTCAGTTTAATCTGCTAGACCGTGCGTACAGTATAGGTTGATAGTCTACAATTTTTCGATCCAGTCTCTTATGATTGCAAAGTCTATGCTTCGCATAATCTCTACATACGGCTTGAGGAACTAGCGCTAAGTAAAACATAGTCAACAACACGAAAACGTCCTTGCTCAACAGTTATTTATATTATGCAAACTTATATGCGCAGCGTTCCTCCTGAACATACATACAACCATCCGGGACGGATTTACTTTATTTATAATTTATTGGGCTTGTTTTCCGTACCTGAAGTAATCAATGTAGTACCGTTGCAAAAATAACCCCTATACTTAGACTAAAAATATCGCAACCAATGCTTTTTGAACGAGATTACTTGTCTACAGGACTTACTTGAAAACGATAAGGACAACTAGAACTGAATCAGATAATTGACCAGTACATTCTGGTTCTCTCGTCTACTTTGGCCTTCACTTTTGTGTTTTTATTTGCCTTCTGCATCTACCACGGGCTAGCGTGAATATAGATTACTTGTAAAGTGGGATACACAATTCATTATCTTCATCTCTTTAACCTACCGCGGCGACTAATATTAAACTACAGTTGTAATAACTGTCACTGACACATGGGAAGTTTGGAAAACAAGGTTCTTTTCTCCCATCTTTAACTTGCTGTTTGCCTTCCAACTCATGTGCAATGCAATAAATTTCATTGAGTTATGAAAACACAGGTTTATTTTAAATGTGACTGTTAGGCCCTCGTATTCAACCTTTTAACTCACCCCGGTAATCCAAACTAATCTTGCACTTTGCCATTCGCTGGTGTAAAATCCTGTTTCTGTTCATTTATTGTACCACAAGTGCAACTACCATGTTTCCGTTGTAGTTCAGTAATCATGTTCCATTCTACTCTCTAACATGTCACTTCTTCCATACACCGCTTGACAAATTACCATTCGGCGTGGATATTTGATACAGCGATCAGTGATCGCTGGTGAAATTCCTTTGGTGGAGAGCTGATGGAACTTGGGATAGGTTTCCTGGACCGGCAAAGACCTGCCACAAATACTATGAAAAAAGTGTACACTGATATTTTCAATTCTACCGAACCGCGTCTTGAGTTGCTGCAGAATGAAACATTTGCTTCGATATCCTGGAATACGCATATAAACTGTCAGCAACTTATCGTTACGTAAGGTTTTGTGAACCATCAGTTAATGTATTTGACTTACCAACAACACTTATATATAGATAC